TGCTTGCTGTGCTGAGCACCCACATCCAGCATGGTACTTAGCAACTAGCTGTGAGTGTGGGGTCAGAGCCAGGCTAGTGATTAATTTATCCCGGTACTCCAACCTGAGATTGCTTTATGGTAGCACACTTGGTGCAAACTTTAAGGTGTGTTCAGGCAGCTTTCTTCTGAGGAAAAACTGCAGCATCTTATGGCTAAATGTACTCCTCAGTAAGGAAAAATGGTGACTTTCTGTCCCAGGGCTGTATTAACTATACAGTTACAAGTAACTATACAAGCTATAACAACTAACTTGACTGTTGTCTCTAGATCTTACAGGCTTGTCTGCTCTTCCTGTATGGAATAACTTGGTTTTGCAGAACAAGGTATTAGCACTTCAGCATGAGGTCCTCTTCCTCTGTCTAGCACTGATGCAACTGCTCAATGTAAGGACCAGCAGAGCTCTTTGCTTCAGCTTCCTCCCCGAGATGGGGAGCACAAGAGCCACCTTTGTGGTGCACGAGCAGCCAAAATGGTCCAAAGGAGCCCAGCCAGCGGCTGGTCGTGCCTCCCAGGAGATGCCCAGTCATTATTCTCCCTCAACCTGGAGCCAGCATCTCAGCAGCTTCCAAGCATGGGAAAGTGCCCCTGGCCTTGGAGCAAGAATCTTTCCCATGCCTGGCAGGGCACCAGTGGGTGCTCCAAACCACTGGCACCCCATTTCTTACGGTTGCTGCCCCTGGCTCTGCAGGGGATGAGGTCAGTGAGCTCTGCAGTGCTTCTCAAGAAGGTATTCCAAAGTCTTCCCACAGCTATTCAGCTGAAAAAGCCCAATGGCATTGGGCAGCTTCTGAAGCTGGTGGTTTTCATCTCCTGAGGAGCTGCTGACAGAAGGCTGAGGCAAGAATTCACTCCATCAGGAGAACTTCAAATGTGGCCCTGCCAGGAGCTGCCCTTGCAGCTCCTTGACCACCCTACAGCCTTCCTCCCTCTGCCTTCTCAAAGTAATTCCACCAGCAACTCAAAGACTTCCTCTGGGATGTCACTGTCCCAGCAGTGAAGCTGTGCAGGCTGTCAGTGGGGCACAGGAGGATGTGCTCCTTTTATCCCATGCTAGGGCATTGTGACCGCTGTGGGCACTGTGACATGGGGGTTCTACCACCCCTCCACCCAGCATCCTCCAGAGGAAGCCTTTGGGGTGCTGGTCCCAGGCAGCCCCTGTTCCCGGGATGCTCAAGGGTCTGCCCCTGCCCTTGGTGGCCATTTCCCATAGGTTGGGGTAGGCAGTGTCGATAGACCACCACGGAAATAACACTGACCTTAAAAGCACAAGTGAGGAGAGGTTACAGTGCTGAGGCAGACAGGGAGGGCATTTTCAGACGGAGAACATTTGCATCCATGCCCAAAGCACTGTCGTGGTTTAAACCCAGTCAGGTAACTCGTTCGCTCACTTCCCCCCCTTTTCTTGCCCTCCCCCTGCTCTCGGAGGGACGGAGAGGAGAATCGAAAAGAATGCAACTCCCACGGGTTGAGATAAGAACAGTTTAGTAACTAAGGTATAACACAGATCACTACTGCTACCACCAGTGATAATAATGATAAAGGAAATAACAAGGGAAGAGAATACATCATCTCACCACCAGCCGACCGATAACTCGCCCCCCAGGCCCAACCAAGCTCCGACCGATACCTCCTCCAACCCCGCAGTCTCAGCCCTTCCCGCTCACTCCCAGTTACATCCTGGGCATGACGTGCTGCGGTATGGAATACCTCTTTGGCTAACTTGGGTCAGGTGTCCTGTCTCTGCTTCCTCCTGGCTCCCCCTCCTCCCTGGCAGAGCATGAGGCTCACAAAGTCCTTGGCCAAACCAAAACATTCTTGTTATCAGCCCTGTTCCCGAGCTGAAAGTCAAAACACTGCACTGCACCAGCTACCAAGAAGGAGAAACATGACTGCTACTGCTGAACCCAGGACAGAGATAAACAATGACTCTTCCAAACTGTATTTGCCTGCCTTGATTTGTGGCAATATGTTCAGATCTTATCTAAATCCCTGCAAATCTTTTCCTTTAGGATTTAGTATTCAGAGTACTGACAGAGTAAGGAAGGTACTATTCTTGCCATTTTGTAGGTTGGTGCCAAAATTGGTATGTATATTCAGACTATGTGAATAAGGGCATTTATACCATATACATTCAGTTGGTTGGGGTGATGCCAGAGGTGAAAGAGAGGGGTTTAGTTCATATGAACTTTGCAGACACAGGCAGCATGCATGATTTCCTCACCATTCCTTGCCAATATACTGGCTTCTCTTTGCTACTACACTCTACAGTGAGGTCATCTTGGAAAGAAGTCCTGAATTGTTTTGTGGTTTTTGCCGTATTTTCCCTTACACTTCAATAGCTCTTTTCCTCCTTTGGCCTTCATCCGTTGTTCAAAATGCTGCATACACATTTGTCACCGAACACATTCCCTTGTTCACAACCCTAAGCTCCCACTAGGCCAGACCTCTGGCTGCTCCTACACAAATGAGCTCCTTAATGAACAAAGCAAAGCATCCTTTGTGTCCTGAAGCTCAGCTATGCTACGTGTGTGAGCAGCAGAACACCATCTCCTACAACCCCAATTACCTTTTCAGGCCTCTCTGTACAGCCCTGCTGCAGACGGGGTATCTCAAGTCTGTTCTGCTGGTTGGGCAGGGGAACTTGTTCAAAACCATTGATTTAACTGGAAATCAATATGCTGAAAATTGAACTATCAGTTTCTGCAAAGTGTGACATATAGCGGCATTTAAGGCAGGGCTGAGTGGAATTGCTTCTATTGCATGGCACAGAATACTAACAGGAATTGATTTCACCCTGGGAAGGCCTGGGTTTGTTTATCTAGTGGCTAAGGGGTTTTTTTGGTGGCTGTTCCTGATTTTGAATGCTTTGCCTAATCCCATGTTTGAAGCAGATGGGAGGGAGAATCAGGACACCCTGTGTAAAAAGCATGCCAAGACTGAATGGGCAAGGAGGATTCAGCTCCAAAGCAGTGTTAGAAGCTGGAGCCCAAAGCAACTTCTATGTTTTATCTCTCCCTCTGCCAGCTCAAAATGCTCTCTCTGAAGTGAGAGCTGCTGTGGTCAGCTGTACAAAGCAGGAGGACACCCTTGTTTTATGAGTGCATCACAGAACAACACACTGGAAGAACACATGCACTAGCCAAGCTTCTCATAAAACCATCAACCTGGCACTGCGTGTCCTGGGCACTCTGCTGGTCCCTCAGGCCTCCTTGTGTGAGGTGGCACTTTCATCCTCACCTCTCCGAGAATTTTCCTTCCAGGATGCTGCAGGCAGGGTTTGACAAGAAAATCCCACATAAAACCTGTCTGAGATAGATCGTTTGACTACCAACCAAAGAAGAGGATAAATGGCTGCAAATGACAACACAAACCACATGCTCAGAAAATGAGCAAGCCACTACCAGTCACTGGGCTCAGAGAACTAGGACATATAGCGATGCTATTAGTTTTCCCTATCACAATGGCTTATCTACCTGGCATTCTCTGATGTCCAGGCTGAGAACTAATTGAGAACAAGATGCCAGACTCCCATTTTGTTGAGGATTAAGGTAACAGCTCAGGTGCACAGAGGCAGTCTGATAGGAAGTTCGGATTGCTGTTGCTGTTATCCTATTAACCAAAAAGTGTAACTTCACTCAGGAGGCAGGGGAAGGAGATGATTGTGTCCTGAGATACTTTTTTCTTCTGCCTCATCTAATAATGATTTGCTCATCCTTTTCTTTTGTTCAGGGAATGTTCATTAAATACAGAACAGAAGCAGGTGGCAGCACTCTATTTTGGCGCATGCTGCAATCCATAAGGGACCCATGTCTTTGCTCAGTAAGGTTTATCTTTCCCACGTCACATCTGTTGCATTGTGTCGCTTTGTCCTCTAATGCTGTAGGTGTAGGGGCTCTTGGGTCCATCACTAACTGGTTCAACACACAGCTAAGACTTAGTCACAGGTTTATCTCCTCAATCTGGGTGTGCTTAAATCTCACATTAAATGGATGTCCTTATCTGTGATTATGCACACATCTTTCTCCTGTATTGCAAGACTAGAGGAAAACATGGCTCATTTTTTGCATCCCCTGAGGCTGGAGTCTCACATCATTCACACGCAAAAGCCAGGAGCTACTCCATTAGTTAGAGTAATTCCAGCCTGCCCAAAATCAGAGGGGAGCCAGGCACCGAGTGGGCTGGGAGCATACTTCTGCTGTCAACAGCTGGAACAAGAGAAAATAATGCACTTCATTGATTACATCCCTAACATGATGCAAGGCAATAATTTGCCATAATCTTGCTTGGAATGTTTTCCACAGACACTCTGGTGTGAGCTGCTGAGCTCACCTGCTGTCAAGTATTTCCACAGCTCAGCTCTGCAGAAGAGACATTAGTGTCAGTGTTGAAAAATTCATACTCAGATTCACTGCTTTACTTGCCAGGGATTTTAAGGCCAGAATGGACCATTATGATTATCATGATCTTCCTGATAGCACAGGCAAGCAAAGTTCACACCAGGGCTTCTACATCAAAGCCAGTGACTGGCAGCAGAACAGTGTTTGAAAAGGACACTGGACCCCAGTTCAAAAGACTCCATATCTATCTCTCAGTAACCTGACTCAGTGATTTAAGTACTGCCACTGCCCCAGTGTGAACTTTATTTCTATTTGAATATATCTGGCTTTTACCTACAGCCAAACTCCTGTTATTCACATATTTTACAGGGTAACTTCTATTAAGTTACATAATTTCCTGCAATAACAAATGGACCTAGTGTTTTAGCGGTTATGGATCATACCTGCTTGTCAAAAAAGGAAATTAGAAGGCTTTTCACCTGACAAAAGATGAGTTAGAATGCAGGTCGCCCATACCAAGTGCAAGGACATTGATACTTAAAGCAGTGGGAAGTGTAGGAACAGTGGGTTTATGGTTGTTGTGAAGATCATGATTGATAGAGGTGCAAACCGATGGAGGAAAAATGATTGATATGTTTATTGTCTGATAAAGTTCCAACCATTTTGACTCATCATTAAATGCATTAGGCTTTAGTGCCACTTAAGGAAGACACTGCTCAGCTAATTGCACTTGGAGGCTGCAGGCTCTGACTTTGAGTTTAGAGAAGGTCTAGCTCCAAGAAGTATGGAGTTCTTCCCAGTAAGAAATGAGGCTCTACAGTATCCCAGGCTGCTTCTGTAATGAATAATGTGCAGGACCACGCAGCAGCAGTTCCCTTCTAAATGGGAGATTGGTTCAAGAACAAATTGAAACAGAAAAAGCAAATCTCGGTTTCTACATTTGTAGGGCTTGTAAGCCAAACAATCCACTACAATCACTATCAAATGTTCTGTCACAACAAAACTGATTCTCCACAGCAGGAAACAAAAGAGACTTGGGTTAAAAAGGAAACCCCACAAACCACCTGGCAAAGGTTAAATACCCTTTTAATTTCCCACTGCTCTGCTCTCTGGGCCACCAGTCAACACAGGGTTTAGCAGCTGACCTGCCCAGGTTTTTCAGACAGTCCTTGAGGAATTCATGATTAATGAATAATCTTCTTCATGAAGCAGTTCCTGCTGCAACACCAACGTGCTCACAAAGGTTAGTCAGCTAATGAGACTTCATCACAAACCTGTGAATGAAAGAGAGGAGGGAGATGACTTACGCGGATAAATGGCTGCAAACAAAAGAAGGCATCTTCAGCAACTCCTTTATGTGCTCACTTCTTAGGAAAAACTTGAGGCTCTTTTAAGGATGACAGATCTATGACAGGATTTCTTTTAAAATGCTATTTTGTTCAATAAATCATGTAAATTCCAGCATGTAAACTAGAGCATTACAGACAGCCTTGTAAATAATTAACTGCTCTTTTGCATGAGGGGGGAGGAAATACCCAATTCAGCAAATCAGGCAGGAAGCTGATTGTTTATCCCCATGAGGAATAAAAGGTTGGTCCTAAAGAGCTTGTGGGTTTGCTGGTGCGGAAAGAGAGATGTTATTTTGTTCAGGATGGTGGTTTGAGATGGGGAATCTGGTGTGTTTTGAGCTGACTGGTAAGTACCCTGCTTAAGCTTTGCAGGGCGCTGATGTTAGCTCTTTTCCTGCTCATAAGGTTTTTTGTCTGGGGTTTGGTTGGTTGATTTTTTTCTGGCACCCTTTAACTCAACTTTCTGCTTTGGGAGTGACGGAGTAGGACACATGAGCAGCAAGCGGGGGAAGATTCTGTCAAGCGGAAGCTAGTGATAGTAAGAACAGAACCGAATATATGTAAGAATTATTAACAAATACATGAATCTCTGCAGTCGTCCTAGACTCTGAGACCTGAATGTGTCTTCTGGGGACATCCTTTAGTAGCTTTAGTAAGGAAATTATTGCAATTCTCACAATGACGGTGTCTTCAGCAATGAAAGCATTCAGGCCGTCAAAGAAATCTCTGTAAGAAAAGCTCAACATACTTGTCAGTATCTCAGAAAACACTAAGACCTTTAATAGGCTTGAATTTCAGGAACATTGGGTTTTGGTAGTGCTGGGTTAAGTGTTAAGTCAGTTAATGCTAAAGATAAAGTTTGCAGTGATGCTGGATCTTGTTCTTTCCCAGTTGAAGCTTCTAGTCCTTGAAACTGTTTTAACAGTACCTTTTACTTGGACACTAAAAGCAACTAAATAGGGAGTTACTCAGACTGCAGGAAAAATGTCAGCTTTGCCTTTGCAGGGCTTTCTGCATAAATGCCTCTAGACCCATTAAAGTGAAATATGCCAGCCAAAGGTGCTACCTTTGTGGTTAAATTGCTGTGATGTGATTTATTTATCAGAATCACAAGGTTCAACCAAGCCACTTACTGTAATATCTCTGTGAGAATAACAACATTATCAAGAAGCAAAACACATTACAAAGAAAAACTTACTGTTGCCTAAAAGAGTTCTTGGCTGCCCCAGCTCTTTCTGACCAAACACTGGTGCTGTCTCTTAGACAGCAGCTGATGGTTCTGTAATACATGTACATGTTATTTGTACTATTGGAAGCTGGATGTGGGAATGAATTGTAGTGTGTCATGCCAGGTTGCCTGTAAAATGGGTTGTTCTTGAGGAAAGCAGCATCTTCAATGTATCTTTGGTGTAAAAGAACTGTATCTATCAGCATGACAAAGGTTCGCATTCCTGCAGTGCCAAGTAACTACAGATTTAAAGGCAGCATCTAAACATTTAGTCTGTGGCTAATTATGGAACAGTCTGGTAGGTCAGTGTTACTAGCTGCTGCCTTTGGAGGACAGAAATAGGCTAGTGAGGTGATCTGGGGATACAGCAAATATCTGGCAGGGCTGGGGTAAGAGCTTATACCTGCTGACGCATGGTACATAATCTGTTCTCTACACACCTCTAGCTGGAGGGCTGCAGCACCTGAGAGTGCTCCTCTGCTCCCAAGGTACCTGTAACATGTCCCTTACAGGCAAGGTGTCACAGCAAAGGAGCACAGTGTTGGGATCCCTGTGCTGTGCACAAGCAAATCAAAGTGAGGAGATGTGATTTGTCTCCTTACCCCCAGTCTAAGGAGTTCACAGCATCCTCTGCACAGCTTTCCTGGTGAATTCCCTTTCCTTGGGAGTTTGGACCTGCTGAAGCCCAGTTCCCTGTTGCATGAATACTTGTATCAGCTTCCTTATAGCATTTTGTGCAGGGTTGTGCTTTCTCTATTCCCTCCTTCCACCTGCTCTTCCAAAGGGACCACAGTCCTGCTAGTGAGATCAGTCTGTTGCTATGGAAATCTTTGTCACAAATGAAGACTTCACAGCAAGGCAGTGGTATTAAAACCAGACATTTACATATGCCTCTGGCTCTGGCGGGATTTGGGTCTCACCACTGAGTGCAGTGGAAGATGCAGCTGCTTTCCTGGTTCACCCAAGGTGGTGCTGGCCTGGAAGACACAGGGTGGTGGAGGGACCCTGTAGAGGTGCCCAGGGAAACCTCCAAGCTGTGTCCTGTGCCTTTTGCATTGGCCTGCTGGAATATGGGTTACCAAGCACTCCAACAGCATTAATACCTCCTCCTCAAGACGCACTTCAGCTTTCCTCTGCAGTGCTGTGCTACAGAGCAGCAATATCAGCAGCTGAGAGAGTGAAGCTGAGGAAGAGTATTGGAAACGGCTATGTAGGGGGGAACAGTGTTGAACCCAGACATGCTGTGGGGGCATGCAGCCTCCTAAACGTCAGAGAGGGGAATTAAAACTTCCCCCTGGGAAGGGAGCTGGGGTAAAAGGAGTAATCCAAATGTGCCATCTTCACATTACTTCCCCCTAAGCGTTTCTAAGTTTAGCTGTATCGCTTCCAAGAAGAACTGCTCATCTAAATCCCAGGGCCTGGCTTTGAAAATTTCAGCACGTCCCCTGTACTGCAAAATCAAAGCTTCTTCCCTGCTGAATACACCTTTGATCAGAACTGTGAGAAATATTTGCAACCATGTGAAACTTGAATGATTTGGGGTTTCATTACACACTTGAAACTCAGACCATTTTCATCAAAGGCATTGCTAAAGTTCACCAGCCCTCTAACAGAACCTTTGATGGTTTATGGCTTGTGTTTTGGGTGAAACTCATGGGTTTGCTTGACTTTTTTTCAAGTGAAACTAGCTGAAAGTGGCTTTGACTGCATTTTGAGAACTTTGAATCATAGAAGCAGCAGCCAGCTGAGTTTTGTTGCCTTTACAGCTGCTGCATGGTGTTATCTTGCCATAAAGGGTAATTCTGCTGAAAACCAGTAATCAGGGTTTGTGTTGTACCTGGCTGAGAAGGTGGCAGAGAATGCTGGTAGGGCTGTGCTCTGCTCTTGTTCCTTCTGGCTTGGAGGCCCATGGCAGCAGCAGAGCTTGGCATATCATGGTGCTAAGAAGCTTGCCATTTCTCAGTGCTGACACATAAGCTTGTCCTCAAGCAGCCTGGGGGGCTGCACGCAGGGAGATCCCAGCTTCTGGGAACATGGGACTTCAAGGAGTCCAATCTATTCTTATCCTGGTTCTCAGTCCCCAGCAGGGTCTTCATCCTCTCTGATGGTTTGGTCTCCAAAAATGCCCATCCCTTGCTCTCTTGCCTCATTAATAGTTTCTGCACCTCCTCTCGCAGTCAGCTGTAGCCACCCTCCTATGGCTGTGAGCTGTGACCTGCTGCTGCTTGCTTAGAGCTATGTTCTCTGGCAGTGAGGTTCCCTCCCAGATTGGCAGCCGGGGCTCTTGGCTCTGCTCATCCAAAAACCGGTCTGGTCCAGGCAGAATGGGCTCCTCTTTATCGCTGCAAGGGAAGGGGGATCTTTCACTGAGAGTTACATGCTCAATATACAGAGTTGTCCTGGTCGGATGCTTGAAATCCACTCTCCTGCTACTCTTGGTACATGGCAAAGAGAAGCATGAGGGGAAAAGCACTGACTTATAATAAAGGGCCAGAGGAGGTGAATAAATGTTATATTTTCCATTTGTGCAGGCATTCGCTCTGTGTGTGGATTGTATTTTCAAGTCTGAGTTCTCTTCTGTAAATCACTGACATTTTCAGAGCAGCATTTCCTACCTGCAACCATTTGCAACCCTTCAGAAGTCAGCACAGTCAGAGCCTCTGCTACATGCTTCCATTTCTCCATTTCAATTCCTTTTTAACTTCCCTTTGGAAGAGCTGGAGCTTTGTTTTGATTAATCCTTGGTCCAAAGGCATAAGCTTGAGGAAACTGCGATGTCATTCTTCTGGGTTGGAAGAGAGATGGGAAAGTTACATTTGCATTACATGTGTCTACCTGAGAAGTTTTTTCATGTTTAGATGCAGACTTTTGGATTGAACTGACATACAAGCTTTGGAAAATCATATGTGTGACTGCAGCACAGCAAATGATGGTACATTGCTGCAAGCGATGCTGAGAGTGCCTCGAGGGATTCTAGAAATGTCCAGCACATTGTACTCACTGTAATATGTAACTTCTGTGGCATGGAACTTGACCCTTGGCAGGGTTTCCTTATCTTCCACAAGCAAAGTACTGGTACTTTGTTTTAATTTAGGCGTGCTTAGCTTGACTCAAAGCATCCTGCTTTGAAATGCAGTGTTTCATTTCAAATGTGACCTGAAGTGGTACTTCTCTGGTTCTGATAATGCTGTGGGGACACTGTTTGCTGCTTTCTCTGCCTGCTTCTCCAATTGTCTGACCACCCCACCCTGCTTCTCGGCTCAATCAGAGCTGCAGTGCATTATGGCACAGCTCAGAGTACTTGTCCATAGTGAAGAGCAGAGCTGTAAATAAAGCCCTGGGGAAGCACATCAGCAGATTGGATCATGAAATATCATCCTCTGAATTTGGGCTCTCCACAGTCCCTTTATCTTATAATTAAAAGGCAGCTGCAGCACGGACATGGTGCAGAGCCCCCTTGGACGCACAGCAGACTGCCTCTGAGATATTACCCCAGCACACAGGCTGCTGCAGCAAAGGGAGCTATTGAGTTCCAGGGCGAGCTGTAACACCTGCACCAGCTCATGGTGCTCATATCCCTCATGGTTTTGGCGTGCTCAGGCCCTGCTGCTAAGCCCTTCTTCCTTAGATGTGTCTGAGTGCAGTGAAGCAGGCACCCAGATTGCTCAGGGCTACTGGAGCTATCTCTAATGAGGGCATTAGGGACATGACCTCCCTGTTGCTGATGTTAACGTACAGAACAGACAGGAGCAAACCTGATTTGCATCAGCTGAAGTGACGTGAGAGCAAAATGAAATCACATGTCCTCATTAGGAAGCTCAACAGATAGGGATGAAAGTCATAAGGGACTGCAAACTCTGCAGGGCTGGTTTTGTTAGCATGGTTACAGCCTGCCTCTCCATCTTCTCTGTGCATGTCCTTCTCTCTCATTACAAGAATGCTTTCCTGCTTTATGCTTTCTTCTTGTTTAATAAATCAGAAGGAGAGCTGCACTGATTTACTAATCTAATCCTCTTAGACTGACTCCTCTCAGCGCTGTACTTGTGCTGTGAGTGACCACTGCTTTGCATAATAGCCAAACATCACGAACAAACAACACGTGAGCCGCAAGAGATAGGCAGGTCTTACACCAAAGCAAATTCAAGGCTGGATTTGTTAAGTCTGCATTGGACTAGGCAGTCAGGAAACATCATTTCTGTGTTTGTCCACCCAGGGCATTGTAAGCCTGGTGGATCCCGAGGAAGGTTTAGTAACAAGCTCTCTCTACCTCCCTAGAAGCAAGATCAATGCTATGCCATGTGAACATGGCCAGAAGCTTTCTCTTGGGTATCATAAGGAGATACAAGCTGTCAGGAAGCATAAATTATTCTTCAACTGCATCTGAATGACTTCCCCACTGCCCACTTCCAGCTGATGTTTGAGGACTCTAAGGTGAGGTTTTCAGATGCTGCCTGTCCCCAGCAGGTCTGCAAAGTTGCACATAGCCAAAGCTAGAAATGTGGAGATGCAGCAGCTTGGGAGGGTGCTGTTTGTGCATGCAGTGTCCCTAGGGGACTGAAGTCTTTGCCTGTGATGCCTGTTGAGCACAGGTTTGGGGAGGCACAGCCTCTGTAGCCGAGGGCTCTCTGCACTCCTGGCCCATTACAGCCATGCTCTTCTGCCTTAGAGACATAGCTTCAAGAATGAGGATTTGTGGCAGGTGTCTACCCAAACTGCACTAATAGTACTGTGGGGGTGTGTTTTATGTGTGGATGTAGGAGTCAGACCAGGATAAATGGTTCTGCAAATCTAAGAGCACAGGGAAATGCAGGCAGCAAATGTAAGACTAGAATGAGGGTCAGTTATCATTAGTCAAGCTGATCTGAAGTGGTGAGATGAAGAGGGACAGTTTCTGTGTTAACTCCAGGGTGCTCTGCATGTGTGAGGGAGGGCATGCTGACAAGGCAGGCTAGAGATGTGAGGGCATTATGGGCCTCTTATCCTGGCAACAAACACTAGCAAAAAGGCATGGGACATGGTCTAGTGACCCAAATTAACTGAGCAGTGTGGATTCTGGGTTTTTAGAATGCACAGAAGCCCTTGCTGTCACCTATTACTGTGGGTGTTACTGAGCTGGTGAGATCAAAGCCAGCAAGGGACTGGCTTCCTGAACTGCATTCCTGCTAGATCTAACTACCTAAAGTGTGCTTTGGCGAAGCAAGGGCTGAGCAAGTAAGAAAGGAGGGAAGGCTGTGGAGGAAGGGAAAAGGTTGTGTGACGGAGGGAAGTGGTGATGCCAGTGATGATCCCAAGGCATCTGGGGTGCCAGGAAGGGTGCTAAGACTGATTGAAATGAGGATGTGATAGGAGAGGATTTCTGAGGAAGGTTAATAACCTAGAAAGTGCTAACATTTACTGTCAAGGCTGTGTCCCAGAATAGCAGATGTCTGTGTCAACAGCAGCAAGAGGCAATGAAAGGACATTGCACAATGTTGCATGCATGCAGGCTGGAAAGTGGAAGAGGGCAGTGAAGCATGTTTTATCAGCTGCTCACACAGTGCTGTGCAATCCCATATGTGACAGTTCAGGATGAGGGCACTCCAACTGAAGCACACAGCGCATAGCTGCAGCAGGTTTTCTGTGGGTGTGCACACACAACGTGTGTCCAGATCAGCTGCGATGTGTACATGTGGCTGCTGACTAGTGCGTGCAAACCATATGGCATGTGAGAGCAAGTCAGCGCATGCATTGTCAAGGGAGAGCAATCCTCCCCTCTTACTGCGAAGAATTTGTGCTTTACCTTATGTCAGGGGAAAGAAGTTCAGAAGGAGCAACGAGAAAAGCAGCCTGTCCATAGGGAGATGAATGCCTGTCAGACATGGGGATTAAATGGAAGCACGACAAATCTGGATTGTTCATGCCAAAACCAACTTTGATTACTCTATAATTCAACATGTGTTACCAGCTCCTATTATTAGAAAGCCAAACTTCCTCCACTGTGGGAAGAGATGAGATGGAGCTTTCTAGCCTTGTAAGTTAATTACAGTACACATGTTAAAAGCAGCATCTGTCTTAGTCAATCTAGTTGATTATTGCAGCACTTTATTTTTAGTTATCATCAAGGTGAAGGATGACACTAATGTAAGTGGAGAACTTCCCACAGATCTTGCTCAACTAAGTATTCTCCAATACCAGCTATGTCAGAGCTGGTGGGTCGCCTCTTCTGGAGCTGGGTCAGATGAAGCCCTCGGACTTGTCTGTGTAACATGCTTTTGACTACAGAGTTACAACAAAGGTACTGAGACCTGGCTATTAGAGTCAGCTGTGAAAATGCTATGGTTGTTAGATATTTGTGGTACTCCAGTGGCCAAAATGTTTGATGCTCCACTTCTATTCTGAGCTCTCTCTGATGCAAACGTTTCTGGTCTCATGACTGAAATGCTTTGATTTATCACATAATCACACCCTGTTCTTTCCTTTATGTCTAATTCTCCTGCCTGGTATCATTTCAACTCTTGGAAAAGATCTACAATGCTTGTCGGGGTGACTGACTAAGCCAACAAAAGCATGCCAGATGAGTTTTCTTTGTAAGTGTGGGAAGCTTCTCCCAAACAACTGAGAGGTCTTGAGGCGTGGACTTGGCTGAGAGCTCAAAGTATGGCAACAAGTCCCCCCTCCTGCTTTAGGGCCAGTGGGTGGATGTGGTGCTGGTGTCACCCAGGAGGTATGGAGTTAGCATTCATGGTATGGTGCTCTTGGCTGCCACAATACTGATGGAGCTGGGAGGCTGGCACTGACACCATTCCTCATGAGCTGCAGGCCTGGGGAAACCTTAGTTTGCTTTTCTATTCACAGCACAAATGAAAAGAATTTGTTTCCTTCCCAAAATCACATGAATAGGTAAAGGAAAAGTGAGAAATCTTGAGCAGCAAAGCCCATTCCCTTTGGATTTGAGAGCCGCA